CGTCTCTCTCTCTCTCTCTCTCTCTCTCTCTCTCTCTCTCTCTCTCTGTGTGTGTGTGTGTGTGTGTGTGTGTGTTTTTATGAATGGTACCCTGACAAAAATGCTAATTGTGAGGAAATTCATGCAGGGATAATCCTTTAAACATGATAGCTGGAGGACAGGTTTAGCTAAGTCTTATTGCATCTCATTTGGGCACACTGAGAGTTCCTTTGTATATTCTTGAAGAGGAGGGATAAAAAGCTAAATCCTTGGGAAATGACCAGATGTGCCTGCACTGCTATACTTGTGTCTGTACTAGGCCTAAAGGTCATGTTAAACAAATACAATTTAGAATTTTAAAAGCAGCTTTTATTGTCCCATAATGGCCAAACTGTCTTACATGCTGGCTAAGGAAAGTTCCAAAATTCATCCAAAATCCAAATTTGAGAGCACAAATCAGTGGCATTTGACTGACGATGTGCTTTATCTGCAGGAAGAGGGCAAGGACTGCAGGAGCCGTAATGATCCCTGCTAGGTGCTCTTTAAATGGACACTGGAAACAGCTGGATTCTGTTGATTTAAATGGAATAAAAAGTTCTCATTGATTACAGAAATTCTGTGTTTTTTAAGTCAGCAATTGAAAAGCAACACAAAATTGTCTTGAGGGTATAATAGCATATTAAACTTTATAACTGAGTGAATTTTCTTTTCTCAAACAATTGTTTGTTAATAGAATGGAGACTTTCTCCCAGCCCATTTTAAAAATTCTCCATTTCAAATTGAATAGAGTAGAAAACACATGTACAATTTGTTCACAAGTTCTGGTAGGACAAATTATTGTGCTTCAAACACTCTGAAGTTTTTGAACTGTTAAATATCTATGTAAGAAATGGAAAAATGTATGGTGTTTGAGAACTCCATAATATTTTTGATACATAGGACAACAAAGATATTGCTCTTTCCATAGTGGAATTGGCACTGTCCTTCCAGCAAGGCAGGGACTGTTAGATTGCATAGATGTGAATGAACAGATCTGGTGTACGTGCATGTGTGTGTGTATGTATTAAAGAATAATAATTTAATTCTCATCATGGCTAATTTCAAAGGACGCTTGAAATATTTTTCATCTCTTCAATATCTGATATGGATATAGTTTACATTGCAAAGAAATATTCCCCAATAATTGATTAGCAAACAACTAATTACAATAATGTATCAGTGTAATTGCATATGCAGAATGACATGCAATATTTTGTAATACAAAGTAATGTTTAGATGCAACTTTCAGGGTTGTAAAATATTTTTGTTTAGTTTTAGGCATGCTGAAGTCTTTACACCAGCTTCAAGTTGAAAATCGTCGCTTAGAAGAACAAATTAAAAACCTTACTGCTAAAAAGGAGCGCCTCCAGCTATTAAATGCCCAGCTTTCAGTTCCTTTCCCAACAATAACAACCAATCCAAGTCCTTCTCATCAAATGCCTGTATTTTCAGCCCAAACTGGTAAGTAGAGAAAAGTAGTTCTCTCTTTTAAGTTGAGGTTTATAACAATTTCTAAAAGGCTTGTAGGCTCTTAGCTAAATAAATGTTGAATGTTATCTCTGTGGGGAAAACCTATAATCTGTCTTCTATAATGTGGCTTGCAAAATGAGTAATGCACTTTTAAAGGGAATGGCATGTGCATATTAGATATGTAAAACTTTTGAGGATGACCAAAAGGGGAGACTGACTTAAATGATCAGCTTTACACACCTTTATGGTGACTAAAATCATATTACAGAGAGGCTTTTTTTCCAAAATATTATAAAAAGTGCAGTTCAAGCAGCAGCTTTCTTCTTAACTACTTCTACCAGCTGTGGTTGAACCCATTATCAGCAATAAAAATTGTGGATGTAAATAGCTTGATTTATTAGTTTCAGAGTTCATATTTTATTAAATGTCCCACATAATTTCTGCATTCAAAAAGCAATAAACCTGATTAAGATTTTTTTTAATTGTCACTCTAGCTGTTAGCTCTGATTCTCTGAACAGCAGCAAAAGCCCTAACCTGGGAAGCAGTTTCCTACCTGACAACTCTCTCCCTGTATTAAATCAGGTATTTATTTTTTTTAAAGTGGTTTTACATATCTTGTTGGTTACTACTGCTTTCCTATTATTTTGCTGTTGTGTGACGTTTGATACAGCTGAGTCTTTATGTGTTTTTATTAGGAGATACACTCCAGTGGACAAAGCACCAGTAGTTCCTCTGCTCTTTCCACTCCACCACCTGCTGGGCAAAGTCCAGCTCAGCAAGGCCCAGGAGTTGGAGGAGTTCAACAGGTCAATGGTGTGACAGTGGGGGCACTTGCCGGTGGAATGCAAACTGTAACATCCAACATTCCCACAGTGGGTGGAATAATTGGAACTCTGCCAGGTAACCAGCTGGCAATCAATGGAATCGTTGGGGCTTTAAATGGCGTAATTCAGACTTCTGCTACAATATCACAGAATCCTTCTCCTCTAGCTCATACAGCTGTGCCACCAAATGCAGTACATCCTCTGCCAACCACACTCAGTAACAGGTAAATCTTTTGCAAAAGAGATGTGTAAATATGTATATTTGGATATAATATTCTAATCAGCATGAAAATACTTGCTTATAAGTTTTCCTCTCTCTTATACTTGTCCTGCCATTATACAAGTAATCTACCAAAGTGTGTTGGGATTTGGTGGCATACAAATTCAGTCAAATTTGTAAATAAATACATTCCAAACTGCATCCTTTACCCTTCCTCCCCATCTCATGGTTTGCATTTTGCCTTAAATACTGTTTATGGGAATGTAAAATTAGTGATGTATGTGTCGGAAAAGAGAGAAATCAGACTCTTTCCTGAAACAATATAGCAGTTTGGTCCCATTCACAGGAAGCTTCCATGCGCTGCAAATTAAGCAGCATAAACACATGAATAGATCAGTGTACAGTTCAGTAAAAAATTGAGGATGTTCCACAGAATGATGACCTTCATAAAAAAGCTCCTGTCTCAGTAGGTCTCAAGTAGGTCCTCTGTTCTCAGATTCAACTTTCCATTAATGTAAGTATTTCATCAAGCATCCAAGACCCAAATGGCTTAAAATTTTAGAGGAGAAGTTTAGCACTGAGTTGGACTCTTATAATATTGGAGTGACACACTCTAAATGCCTAGCCTAGCTCTGTTCCTGTATGCATCCCAACAATAGAGTTGTGTTAGCCAGTATTTCCAAACTGCCAGTGACAAGCATGAGGCAAGGTCTGTTATCGCAAGGTAGATTAAAGGCACTCTTGCTGTTGCCACCATCTAGCCTTAACTCCACCAAGTCAAAGAGCATCTCAAGTTGCAGCATTAGACCTTCAGAGAGAGTGCAGTCACATCCAGAAGCAGTTGAGAGCCTCCATTCAGGCCAATCAGTTCCTATTCGCCCTAGTACAATTTCAGTATCAGAATTAAGCTTCAGTTTATTCAGGCTCATCCATTCAATAACTGTTTCCAAATCCTTGCTCAGAAGTTCCATAGTCTCCTTAAGTTAATAGATAAAAATGGTTATTTGATATGTGGTTCATCTGCATATTGATGACTCTTTAGTCAAATCTTTGGATACCTTTGTCAAAGAAACTGCTTCCGGTTATTCAAATGGCCTCAACTTGAGATGCCGCCATCCTTTATTGAAGCTTAAAGTTAGTATGCTTGATATGGAGTGATTATTGTCTGAAAATTGTTGATTTAGTTTATTTAAGAAAAGAATCATTGTTGACCTTTTAATGGTAGCAGAAGGAACTTGTCTTCCAGATAAGGCAATGAACCCAGCAATGCTGACAGTAAATTCAGTTTGGGTAACTTTTAATAACAAGGATCAGCAAATACCAAGAAGACAAACAGGAACCCTCAAACCTCCAGGAAGCAGTTATTCCATGTCCATAAATTATATAAACTGGAATACTACTCTCTCTCTCTCAAATTACAGCATTAAGTGGCATTAAATATTATCATAAGCTATTTTATTTTGAAGTGTAACGTAGAGTCACATTTGCAAGTGGGGCAACCATATAAATTAATAAAATAAAACTAGTCACAAGTGTCCTTTGAAATTTGTACCAGCTTGGCTTTACCCTATACAGTGGAACCTCGGGTTACGAACGCTTCTGTTAACAAACTTTTCGGGTTACGACCAG